CAATGGGGTTCGATTGGTAACCTAAAGCGATATAATTAAGCTAAAGTTTTAAACTGTTAGAACATAGTGTAAAGCTAGAAAAATAATTGTAAGAAAAAGTTTTATGAATAAAGCTGTAATGATTTTGGTAAAATTTTTGATATTATTTTTACAACTAAAATACTCTTTGGGAATCGCCATCGTGTTGGTTCTGATTCATGCGGCGGTTAGGAGGAGTAATAATTTGTTTCTCGATGAAGAAGCTGCGGCGGTGACTGAAACTTCATGGCTGACGTCATATCCTTCGTCATAAAAAAAAAACCTATTTGTTTTTTTTTGTTGTTGTTGTAATGTTTACTCCTTTTTTTTGTGAGATTATTTTTTGTTATGTGATTGACAAGTTTGAAAAATGTTTTTGTTTCTACTCTGTTCGATTTGTTTGTTGGTTAATTACTTGAATTATGCAATTTAGCATTCGATGTTCTTTCTTTTTTTTAGAGTACGCAACTTAACATAACACTTGGGAATAATTATTTTATTACACAATTTTTTTTTAAACGTCTGATTTCATTAATTCTGAAGGAAGTTACATCGTTCATGATAACAAACTATACAGTGTAAAAAAAATTACAAACTTGGAGTGCTAAGCTTCCGGACATTGTATTATGAAGACAAATCAGAACTTTTAACACCTCTCACTAAAAGTAAAAAAATAAATATTTAAAAAAATTTAAAATATTCGGTGTAAACAAATTTATTTGAAAAATTCAGTGAAAAAAATAAATAATTTTAAAACTTGAGTATTAAATTCACATTATATTGTGTTGACGAGACGAATTTGGTACCGCCAACGGACAAAGATGATGATGGTCAATGACGGGATTCCACGTTCGAATATCTTCACAATTATGTAATTTTAACACTCACAATTTTTTGATTAAAAATGTAAAGTTTTTGGTGAAAACAAAAATTGTAGTCAAATAAACTTTAAAACTAAAAAAAAAAATCAGAAACTTGAGTACTAAATTTACGGTACAATGTGTTCAACTAAACAAATTTGGCACCGCTAACGGACAAGGACAATGATCAATGACAGGATTCCACGTTCGAGTAG